TTCTTCTCAGACATCACTGTCAAACGAAATTGTATGTCTCCAGGATAAACCTGCAGTCCTCTTAGAGTGTTCTTTAGTGTGTTTTCAGGAGCCTATGTAGCAGCTCATGAATTCATGTCCATGCAGCAAAAGAAGGCAAATGTGTGTCTTGCCGACATTCAAACCTATAATATAGAGAAGCGAGGGCCTTTTCATTTTCAAGTGTCCTTCATGCAGCAGGTGCCTCACCGAGGCGAAACCATCTGCCTCTTGGCGACGGCAATGAGCCCCACCTTTTGAGCCGAGCTGAACCCCCAATCACAGCACAGAGGGGTGTTAAACAGTATGGCTCTAATGATGCAGTAAATGGGAGGAAAGGGTTTCCTTTTGCTTTATGTGCCTGCCGGGTTATCTATGAGAGCCATCGAGCAAAAACATGATCTGATATGAACAAGACTCTGTCACCTTGAACGTAAACACATAAAACCGGTGGGCCGGGAGACAAATGGCCGGGACTCTCGGTCGTAAAGAATATTAAATCAGTGTGATTACAGTTCGCTGGAGGAGGATGCTGTACGCTGATGATGATAAATGAGCTTTGCCAAGGTCTTGTAATCATGCACCTTTAATTCCTGAGTATTATTTGCCAGTTTTCTCTTGCTCGCTTCGCTTTTTTTTTCTTCACTCTCAAATTTTGCCAACACGAGAGATTTGACTAAAAACATCCTCAAACCATCTAGATTATTTATCATTTACATGTATCTTAAAGATGCAGCTAGATACAACTAAACAGTGAGCTGACACTAACAAGTTAAACTAAACATTGATTACTTAGTGAACACAGAAAAGAAGCTACAAGCATGAGTACTGAGGCCATCATAGCTTGGCCAGCCATAAAACTCACCTTGTCCTGCTGTTATGACAGACATATCTGAGCTCACTGTGCTCTCTTGATGGGATGTTTGTCCTGTGAATGTGTAGGGCTCATAGGAAATAGTGTTTGTTAAAGATAGCTATCATATACAGCTTCAATAAATGTTTTGAGGCCTAAGAAACATAAATTAGCAGCATTTAAAATAAGAATTGGAATTTGAGTTCTATCTTGTTTCTGAAGAATGACACACTGTACACATGACATATATTGCACTTCTGTCCATCCTGAGAGAGGGATCCCTCCTCTGTTGCTCTCCCTGAGGCCTCTTCCTCTTTCCTCCCTGTTAAAGGGGTTTTTGGGGGAGTTCTTCCTGTTCCGATGTGAGGGTCCTGGGACAGAGGATGTCGTATGTGGACAGATTGTAAAGCCCTCTGAGGCAAATTTGTGATTTTGGACCAAAAAGGGGTGTTTAATTGTGAAGATTATCTTTGTCAACAAAACATGTTAGTACCATAAACTTGTGTTTGCTAAACTTGTGTTTGCTTATTTTCCGCATTTATCTCAAATCCAAATGGGAAAATCCCATTGGCTTTTTGTTTAGGGAACCAGTGAGATGCTAACTTCCGGGGTAGCCTAGAACAATACGCCATCCCTGCATACTCTATAAAGAAAGATACAAGATGGAGAGTCTGTTAATGAGTGTCTTAGAGGAATTACATGGTCTTCTCTCTGATCAAAATGATACCAATGCAGACAGTGATGTAGATTGGTGTGCACTTCAGCCAGACTGTTCGTCATGCGAAGCTAAAATGACTGCACCAAGTCACAGATGAAACATCAAATTTAATATGACCAAAAGGTTTGGTTGCTAACTGACCGTATACAACATTAACATTATAGATTCATTTAGAGATCTGAGTTACTTTAACTTGGAGTAAATAAAAAAATCTTAGTTTGATTTACAGTTAGTTAAATGAATTCAAAATTTTATATATTTTTGTTTCCTTGAAATTTTGACTTTTCCCAACTTTTTGTTATATACACTGCTTAGGAAAGGTTCTGTTCCAAGGCAGCATCTTTAGTTATTTGTGTAGTTTTGTGAGTTTTTCTTACTTCTGGAACCGAACCTGGAAGTTTTGGTTTCACTTTGGCGATCTATACAAACGATGATCTGTCTGGTTCTGCTGCATTGATATTTCAAGTTTTTTTAATGTTGACTCCCATAATGTTATAGTAGTGCACTGCATCTGAGATCACCCACCTGATCTCAATGTCATTCATTATTTCATTATTTGTCAAAGCTGTTGTGAAGTTCATTCTTATTGTTGCATAGTTTCATGTAAAGACAGTTTGGGCTAACTCAAGTGATCTTTACCTTGGCCACGGTAAAGCCTGACATCCTTGCTTGACTGTGATTGGACTGTGTATATACGCTGTTGTTTGAGCAAAAATGGCTTTTTGTCTCTTTTATATCCATGTCATGTCGATGTGTCCTTGGGCAAGACACTTAACTCCAAATTGCTCCAGTAGACTGTGCCTGCGTTGTGTGAATGGATATGAATGGTTAGATAGCCCTGATAGAAAGGTGGCACTTTGCAGCCTGTCATCAGTGTATGAATGGGTGTGAATGGGTGCGTGACATGTAAACACTAAAGTGCTTTGAGTGGTCGGAAGACTAGAAAGGCAAGTACAGTCCATTTACCATTGCCATTTACCAAATGACACAGATCTTATTACCGGTGTCAAGGATGTCTCATTTAAATAATAGCTTTGCAAGGTTAGTACAGTAAACTCAGGTCATTTCAGAGAATGCTGTGTATATCTGAACAAGTCCACAAGGACTGAGTGAGGTGATGTAGTTGTTGTTCTGATGCTGATAGCATCTTCTCATGTGATGCTGAAGCAATCGTTCACAGAGCTGTTCGCTAAGATGCCAGTGTTGTCACGACGTGCAATGAGTTAAATGTTTCATCATCTAAATGGGTAGATTGGGAGTTTTTTAGCCGTAGCTTAGCATTAGCTTAGCGTCTCATTTCTTTCATTTAAATATCTGGCATTTCTACAAAGCTAGGTTAGCTGCTTTCCCTCTGCTCTCAGTCCTCATGCTAATCTCCTGCAGGCACTAGCTCCTAGTCAGCTCGATACTATTGTATTGCTTTAAGTGGTCGTCTGTGAATTGAAATCAATGCTGAAGTTCAAGTGGCAAAAAAATAGACATCCTTACTTTGGAGCAGTCATTTTAAAGTGTCGTCAAATGAATATGTGAGTGGAACAACTGCATCATCTGTCTATTGTCTTGTTGTATTATTATCTCTGTCAAGTGAGCATAATAGTGATCATGACAGGTTTTATATTTACTTTCAATTCAATTCACAACAAGAATAAGCCACGCCTCTTTTATCCATCACATGTGTTGATAAGACTTCTGTATAGGATACGCTCATACGCATCCTCACTCATAGCTCCTCTGGCAGGACTCCTCTCTCCTCGAGATCATCCAGGTCACAGGAAGGAGGACTAAGGAGACGAGGAGACAAGGAGGCACCAAATAGAGAAATGTGAAGAGCAGCAACAACGGCACTTCTAATAATGATAATAGTAAAAAGCAGCACGCAGAAAGTACACTATGAAATTAACATGTTGCTGGGAAAAGAGTGTTGTCTCCATTTTGTTCGTCGTCATCTCCAGAATCAGTAAATATTTCACCTGCTTTGAGTTTAAGAGCTGTGCTGATAGGTCTCCTGTGCCGGGAGTGTCTAAACAGCCCTGATGGAGAGTTACACCTTGTCGTCCATATACAGCATGTCAAGCTACCAACTATAGTTTTCTAGTTTTTGCAAAAGAGCAGGTGGGGCTCCTTCAATCTGAAGCTTGGTGGGTAGGCTGGCTGTGTGATGGCTAGTTTGAGTCCTTTAGTTGCACCCCAAGCCACTTTTCTTTGAGCAAGGCATTAAATCCAAAAACAGCTCATGGGCTTCTGTTCTGCAGCTGACCTCTGACCTCCTTGCGATGGGGACTACAGGGAATAAATTAAATCTGACAGTTGACATTGGCCTAATATTTGGAGTGGTCACCCTATAAGTCACAGATTCAAATCCTACATAACAGCCGGTAGCCGTGGATGAGAGCATCAGCCAAGTGCTGAATGTAGAAACACAACACAATCTCAAACTGTGCTCCGCCTGTGGTTCAGCTCTGCATCACTTCAGGCTGAACTCACAGAAAGTAAAATGCTGACAGTTGAGGTTCTGTTCTTTCTCTCTTTTCACTCGAGTTGCCACTTCGGAATGGTCTGCTCACTACAAATGTCCACTTTCAAAAAGGCAGCTTGTATTCTTACATGCCATTAGTAGTCTGCATTCTTGGTAAAAAAGAAAGAAAGAAAACCCTAACACACAACACAAGAAACATGTTTTAAAGTAGTAAACTGTAAAAGTACTTTATTCTTCAGCAGTTTTTCCTGCATAGAGAGTTTAGATGTTGCCCCCTTCACTGTCATATACACACTGTATATCCATTGTAAATGTTTTCTTATATGTATAATATAAATTCAGAGTGAAATATATGGAATGCCATTTTATTCAATATTAAACACATAGATATAAATATGGTTATGAAATGAGGCAATAAATATATAAATAAATGTAAATATTATATATAATATAGTTCAATAATTCAATAGGTTTTCATTTCATGAAGGTAGTTTTCCAAAAGACTTTTACAATTTATTTCCTGATGACACATTTATTTGAATTGCTGTTTTTATTTGCATCTGTTGTATTCAAGTCAATGCGTGTTTATCTCACATATTCAGACCAACAAGACAAGAATCAGATCGCGTGAGATAGCCACACCCCATCCATTTAAATATTTTATATATATATACATATATACGGATTTATATTTACCTATATTTGTAGATTTATTGTTTATTTATTTACTTTCTTATTTACTTATTTATCTATATATTTGATATTGAATAAAATGGTACTCCATGGAAGTTACTCTCATACGGTGCAAGGTGCATACATTAGCAAGATGATACGGTAGATGATAAGCACTTGTCAATAAATGTAACAAGTCACAAGTAACCAGTGAAAGCCCTGCACAACCTCAATCCTATGCTTTCCTTTTGTTTTTCCTTCAGAGGCGTCCCCCAGTCCTGTAAAGAGCTCCCCAGAAACGTCTCCCATGACCTCCCCGCGACAGCACCGCGACTCAGACCGCTACTGCCAGCTATGCAATGCCTGGTTCAACAACCCAGGCATGGCTCAGCAACATTATGATGGCAAAAAGCACAAGAAAAATGCTGCTCGAGCGGACCTGCTGGAGCAGTTGGGGAAGACCCTGGACATGGGAGAGATGAAAGGTAGGCAGCACTGCATATTCTGACACAGCACATATTCAACACAATCAATCAATACATATAAATACATATCACAGTACGGATGTTTTTTGGCAACTCAAACATGGGACTATCATCTACCGTTGGCATGAATGTTAAAGTTTCATTTCTACCAACCTAAACTTGAATAATTACCTGTTACACAAGAATACAAAATAGACGTGGGCGACCGTGGCTAAGTGGAGAGCAGGGCCGTCCTTCAATCAGAGGATCGGCGGTCCGATTCCAGACTCTGGCTCCGCTTGTTGCATGTCAATGTGTCCTTGAGCAAGACACTTAACCCCAAAATTGCTCCCGTAGCTGTGCCTATGGTGTGATAGAATCTGAATTGTAAGTCTGCTAAATGACTGTAATGTAGAGAATCAGAAGATTGACTATTCACTTTGAACAGTCAATTAAATACAAAATAATTTAACGCAGCTGCACTTGGTCTGCTGAACCTGATGAAGATCAAGAAATGAAAACATTGGTACTGTGCATGATTTAAAATAATTATTGGGAACCACTCACTATTTTATGTTTTGGGTTTTATTACCTATAATTTACTGGTACAGGTTCATTCATATGAGTTTGGCATTTCTAAAACACTTTTTACAGCTGTGGATGTTTTAGATGAGAGCTTTGACACTGAACCAAAACAGTGAATTTGTTTTGCTGAAAGGCATTAAAGCGCTCTGTAGAGCTGAGGGGAGTTCATCATGATTCTCTGTGGTTCTTCACGACAAGACTTCTTTCCCATTGGACATACATTGCTCATTTGACATATTGTTGAAATAAAAAAAATATTAGTGCAGCTTTTAGGATCAAACACTGATGTTCATTGTATGACTGCAACCTCGCCCACCTCGGGTGGTATCAGCTGATTGGCCGTTATCAGCCTTATAGATATGGGTTAGAAGGCGCCTGCTTCACCTATTAGTCAGTTCAGAAGGCTGTTGTTATCTAATCAGATGGTAGATTACTAACATGAATAGGGGAAGAAGACCTCAGCCTTTAGTGGCTGCAGTAGTTATAAGTGGAGTGAAGGAAGAACAAAGAGAGACAGTGAGGGTGGATGTATCGGTAAAACAAACACAGGACTTTCACCCAGGAGACTGCTGTTCGTGTCCCACAGGAAAATTGACTAATTCTGCTGTACTTCTGTTACGTAAGTTACATATTTAACGAACAACATGTACGTAAGTTACATAACAAGTGCACTTATTTTAAACCAAACCAGAAACTTTTCCTGAACCTAACCAAGTGGTTTTAGCCAGTGTGAAGCAATAGAACGGTAGCGATGCCCAAAGTAACGCTCAATCAATGGGTTACAGCATTCAGAATGGTTTACTACTTGCCATTTGGCCACTTGTTTGCTGTCAGAGAAGAGGTAGAATCTCATGTTAAGGAAGTCTAAGTGGTAATTATTGTTATCACTTGTCAGACACCGTAGTCAATGATGTGATGTGTGTAATATTGATCAGCAGCATTAGCCTACATCTGGAGAGAACTCTGATCGTTTGTAAGTTCTCTACTGGTAGCCCTCTTAAAGCTGTCAGCTTGACCCCTTCTGGTGTTTGTCAGCGTGTCACAAGCTGTTAATTTTACAGACGAGGATGGGAGAACGTTCTTGCTTATCCTCTCCCGGTCACAATATGTCAATAGCAATTACACAAAATGATTCCATGCGGTGGCGGGCCGGCTGCCAGAAGAGCAGAGGGAGCCCAGAGGTGTTGTAAAGTGTATTGACGCGTGATCACACCGAACGGGCAAAACAAGTCCTGACAGCTGATTGGACACGGAACCCTAACTTCAGGCCTTATTGGTTCTCTATGCCTAAAGGTGTGCGCTGGCTGGTTGAGGGCAAATTGAACGGTGTTATTCAGTTCAGCTTTGTCATGTTGACTATGTAGGTTTTGAGAGCATGATGTCTGTTTCAGGTCTAGAACATTTGGACCATGGTTTGGTAGCATCACTAATCACTGTAATTCAATTTAGGATCGTTATAATAAACATGATAATGATAAACTGTAGGTCTATATATATGTATATCATAAAATGTATATTAAATAGGTTGTAGGTTTTTTAATAATTCTCATTTCATGTAACCTGGAATGTTGCTTATCTAATTTCAAAAGTTAGAAGTTTTTAGAAAATCAGAGGAATTATTTTATTTTATTATTTCATTATGTAAGTCCTCCAGCAGTAAGGGTAGGAAAGCGATAATATTCTCTGGCAAATATTCAGGCAAAGCCCTGCAGGATTGCTCTAAACATTGCTGTAAGTGTGCAGCATCCAGTCTATTCAAACACTTCAGTTGGCAGAGACTTGTTATGTTAGAGCAAGACCATCGATTCAAGATCTAGAATCTGTTTTGTAATTTCAGCTAATTTTGACTTTGACAATGTAAGTATACATGATCCTAAAGCCCTTGATAACTTCAATTATAAAGGTATCTTTAACGGTTCATATTTGTGACTAAATAAACAATAATTAAAGGCACACTGAGTAGGACTGATCGGTTGCGGTCTGTGAACATCACATTGAATGCTGGCCCCTCCTCCCCAGCTCCACGGAGGTCACTACGGGTCTTGTTAGCGGTTGAAAGCCAACACGAGCTTTGTCTCCTTGGAGTTTCACCTCTGCTTTTTCTTCGGCATTGTGCTGTCAATTTTGTAGTTTATATAGGTCGACGTCCAGAAATGTCCGGAACACAACAAGATGAAAACAAAAGAAGTCAAGTTGTCTGCTGACACAGACAAGGCCACACACTTCTATATGTATATGAGTATGTGTATGAGTTGTTAGAATTGTACATTGTATTTTGGAAAACTCTACTCGTCTTGCTTTTAAAGTTAAAGTTCACAGAAGAAGCATTTTAGTTTAAACTACTGTGTCATTTGATTGACAGCATAACAAAACAATGCCACAACTGTAATCAGATTTTGATTGGAACAGAGATATGGCATATCATGAAATCACCTTCTCTTTTCCAGCAGAGCCCCCCCCCATGGAACATGTGAAAAGAGTACAGGGAAACAATACCATACAAATACAAGAATCTCTAATATAAAATATACTGATCCAAAAAATACAAGAAAGGTCATTGTTAAGTTCTACTTCCCATTAGTTTTCTATACAATGTAAATGAATCAGACAAGATCCTGTTATGATTCCCTAAAGGTATTAATCCCAATAACAGGATGAGTAGAGGTTAGGAGTAAAGGACAGTTAGTGGTGTCGTTGGAAAGGAAACTGCGGGTTGTTCAAATGTAGATGAAATGAACTCCCTGAGCCTTTCTGTGATTTTACTGTAAAGTCATGAGCATCCTCCTGCAGACAGGTTGTCACTCTGCACCAGTAGCTCCCCTCTGACTTAAAGCCGCCCCTATCTTCGGCTCAATCTCTTTTGCACCGTGCCTGTTTTGCACTGTGTGTAAGGAGGAGATGGATTCGCCAACATCAACACAGTCATTATGAGGAGGCTGAAAATGTCAGCGTGGCACCATATAGCGGCACCGTTCAGCACTTGGGCTGATTAGCGTTTCTCTCCGGCGATTATCAATTAGTAATGAAGTGGCAAATCATCCTATCAGACAAAAGCAGTGCTGTGAGCCCTGTAGAGAGGAGAATGGGACCGCAGCAGGAAGCATAGCAGGCGGCCAGGCAGTCAGGACAGAGAGGGGAGGCGGGGGGATGCTGCTGCTGGAGAACGCTTCCTCCACTTTCTCCTCGGAGCTCTTTTCTATACTTCCTCTTTTCATCTGTCTCGGCACCTCCTCCTTCTCTTCTCTTAGCCCGTTTCCTGCTTACCATTCGCTTTCCCCTGACCTCCAGCGCCGTCAATGCACACTTCTCAACTTGCTAAGAAAATGTGCAGTCTGACTCTGAAAACGTGATGAAATATTCAACAGCTCCCATAATGGAGGAGGAGGTGCTGTCTGCATATTGTTGTTGTGTATACAGCGTCGTGCAGCTATGGGAGAGAAAGAAATGAGGTGGGGGGGGGGGGATAGAGTAAGAGCGTAAAGGCATTGTCAGGCCATTAGCACTGCACTGTTCCTGTGTGTGAGTTGGAGAGAAGAAGACTCTTCAGGGGTTAAATACATCTGCTTCAAATAATTTTGGCCTTACTCACATTTTACTGCAAATAAGTATAGAGCTTGCAAAGCAAAGCGTCATACACTCTCAGAGTGCGATATTACGAAGGCTGATGCTCATTGTGTTCAAAGTGAAATGTGTGGAGATGAGATGTTTAATTAACTGTAACAGTAAGGATTGTAATGTTTGCAGAGTTGTAGATGGGATGGAAAATGAATATGTGGTAGATAGTCCATTATACACTAATGTGGACGGACCCTGTGAGCACTTTTCCCTGGTTATCACCGCGGTGGAGTTAAACGGGATGATGGTGTCTTTTCCTTCAAGATAATATTCTTTTTTCCTGAAATTAAGACAAATGGGGAGATTTGACCTCAGAAGCAGCTTGTTTATAGATATTTTATTTCTGAGCTTATAGAGACGCACCGATCAAACTGTTTTTCTTGATCCAAAATCAGCGCTCTCTTTTTCCCATATTTAAAATCTGTATACATCCCTAAACTCATAGTTTATTACGTTATTGTACTCTATTGCACAGGAACATAATGGAAGTCCTATTAAAGGCTGAAACATCAGACATAGACTCTTTTATCTTTCTACATGTAGTCTCCATGCTGCTGTTAAGGGAAACAGGAGCTGTAGAATCTGCATATGTTCTGCTGAGCGATACATTGTCCCAGGTGTACCCTGATACCTGACAGTGACAGACAACCAGGCATAGTAAGAGGCAAGCCAATAGGCAGCTCTGTTCATTGAATGGACCGACTGCTGTTTACATAAAGGGTTCGTGTTTGTGGTATTAAACTCAGAATTAACATTGAGTGTGAAAATGATTTGACACACAAAAGTTTTATCTCTGCCAATTTCTGTTTAGTCTCTTGCAGTGAACACTGAATCCTAAAGTATGCCTCCATGCTGTCATTCCCCTTGTTGTATCATTGGGCTGTGTGCTTTACCTCATGTGGTTCACCTGCAGACATGACATACATTCACTAGTCAGATCATGTCTTAACCAGAAAGGATAATATTTTATATTCAATAATGTGAAGTAGACAAGAATACTGGAGAAACAAACTGAAGTTACTGCATGTTCCCATTGGGATCAGCCATCTGTGTGACTTTTTGACCTCTTTGCTATCAAGTGCCGCAATGTGAGACTGGACTACAGATGACAGGGAAGACAGC